TGGGGGTGCACATCTCTGAGGACCTCTCCTGGACCAACAACACCACATCACTGGCCAAGAAAGCTCAAACACGCCTCTACTTCCTCCGCAAACTGAGGAGAGCCAGCGCCCCACCCCACATCATGTGCGCCTTCTACCAAGGCACCATCACTGGCTGCATCACTGTGTGGTACGGAGCCTGTACTGCCTCCTGCAGAAGGACCCTGCAACGCCTAGTGAAAACAGCCAGCAAGATCATCGGTGCCCCTCTGCCTTCCCTTATGGACATCTTCTACACCTGCCTCACCCACAGAGCCATCAGCATTGCTGACACTTCCCACCCTGCACACTCCCACTTCAGACTCCTGCCTTTAGGGAGAAGGTATCGGAGTCTTCAGGCCCACCCCACCAGACTTACAAATAGCTTCATCCACCAGACTGTGAGGATGCTGAACACTGTCCATTACTTCCCCCCTCTTTGCCCCTGGACCGTAACCCACCACAGAACATAAAAAGATATAAAAAGACTGCCCCTGCTGTTGCACAAACTCAATACATTCCCCCTTTTTGTTATATTATAGGTAAATCTGCTGCTGACTGTTATGGAAACAAAAAAAACCTACTACTTCTGCTGTTTTACTGTCTGTTATGTTATGTGTAAATCTGCTGCTGACCTCTTTTTTTTTTTGCCGGGGTTTCTGCTGCTGTTGGTCATTTGCAATACCGTCCATGTATACCTCGTAAGCTATTTGCACCTCATCACCAACGCCCTGGTGATGGAGATCTGACAATTTCCTATTATTGTTTGCACTACTGTCACTGACTGTACACGGTTTTGAGTCACAGCTTATTGGCTGTACCGTTTAGATTTATCCTAATTATGTCAATCCAGTTCTTATTCTATTCTATTTTTATTCCTTTTTAGTTCCTAAATGTTATGGCACCCAATACTATGTATGTCTGTATGTCCTGCACATATGGTGAATTGACAATAAAATCCTTGAACCTTGAAAATATTCCATATAATACCTAAACAATTTTGCATATATAACACTTTTTGGTAAACCTAAACAATCTATTGTAATTAAGTACAACGGCTTTGCCATAAAATCTAGTTGCACAATGTTAAGAATGTTCAGTATTTGGAAACATTTTCAGACATGTAAATCTAATGATATGCTCCTTATTGAAGTCATAGTTAAAGGTGGTGTTAAACTGGAGAACATTATATTAAGAGGTGTGTCAAATGTTTTGCCTCCCTTTACAAACAATACACCGCTAACAATGACATCAATGCTAAAATATGATTTAGTTATCATCTCTATGATAGTAAAAAAAACAAAAACATGGTAGGCATCATAGACGAGTCTAAGTGCGAGTGTGACTAAAACACGATACCAATGACATACCTGGATAAATTCATATATACATATATATATTGCTGGTCTACATGTCCACATAAATCAGGGTTGCTACAGTATGTTATTTTGAGATCTTTGCCAGATGAACTAATACATAAACTAATCCAGATAAGTGCGGATCGGACCCAGGGATCGGCACCTGCAGCTGGACTGACACAGAGTGATGCATTGGTTGAAGGGGTGTTCAGGGTCATATGCTGCAATGAGCACTTTGCTTTACATGAGTGCCGTGACTTTGACATTTGTGAGAGTTGAAAGAGCAGTGATTTTCAGTGCATGTTGGAGACTGTCAGCATGGTGAAGCAGCAGATGGAGCAGTGGAGGATAATGAAAGGAGGACAGGCTCTATGAGGTTTCTAAACAGGTGGCACAGTCTGTCAGCTACAAAGAGAACCTTGAGTTTACAGATGACAAAGAGCTTCTGCTGGCAGTGTTTATAGGTGGCATTTAGTTTATTGTCCATTATATTCTGACAATGCTTGAAGCTGTCGACCATCTTCGCTGTCCCACTGGTGATTATAGTGGAGTTTTGTGAAGGTCAAGGCACCTCGAGAGAACTAAAAAATAGTTCTTCATAGTTTTAGAGATTTTAATGCGCAGACACAGTAACTGTCTGCACACTGCCTTGTGAAATGAAAATGTGAATTCCATTAGGCCACAATAAACCTCCTACTATTAGTGCTGATACATTCCCTAGATAGTATTTAAAAAATACTTTCTGCAATGTCCCTTTTAAAAACGTTATTAGTTTTGCCATGATAGTATTAGAGCTGTAAATAAATCCACTGTACTTACCGATATTGTATACTGCATAGGCTGGTACAGTAGCATCATCATTAAACCTCATTTTATTGGTGGTGTCAGTGTGCCTGGATGGAACATACTGAACATACTAATATGAAGACACTTCTTTAGCCATACTAGCAACATGGTTCTGGGGATGCCACAATTGGTAAGATTGAAAGGCCTACATCAAAAACTATTGGATTGATTACCATGACATTTTGTAAAAACATTCATAGGCCCAGAGACAGATGTTTATTGACTTTAGATTCTGCACCTAAGGTTGGCATTTATTTTTTTAAGATGAATGTCTCAATAACAATTGTATGGGTTGACATGAAATTTTATATGTTCCCCTCATGAAGATTTGTAACAACTGGGGATCCTGGGACTTCTAATCTAGTGCCATCACATCATGATGTGACATTCTGATCCATCAAAACTTTGGTTTATGACCAAATACCTGCAAAATGAATAAACTTTTTTTTTATCCAGCCTTTGTGATAATTTGTGAATGTTAGCATGTTGACATACTAAACTAAAATGGCAACCATGGGAAAATACACTAGTCCTAAATTACTAAGCATGTTAGCATAGTAACTCTAAATAGCATGTTGCCATTTTGGCATAAACATTTAGCACAAAGCTGTGTTGTGCCTGAGCCTCACAATGCTGCTAGCATGTCCACCAAAAGCACACCATGGATTTCACTTGCACACATTAATCATCCTCTGTGTCTGACCAGCTACAAAAAGTGAATTTTAAGCAGATCTTTTAATGTATGCTCAGATCAAGTCATCAATCATAGCTCAATACGGGGTTGTAGGATGGGCGGCATCTCTAATGGTGAGATCTAACTGTGGCCATTACCTGAAAAGGTTTTATTATTTTTCTATCTCACTTTCAAGCATGACAGATGAACAGAGGTGGGCAGTCATTTGCCGGCCCTGAGTACAGCTGGCAGTGCCCTCTTTGGTCTGAGCCAGGCTCAGGACATTGTCAAAGATCTTAAGTTCTTTTGATAAATGGAGAACTTTTCTTGCTTTATTTTTTGGCCGAGTAATGACTTTCTGTGTCTGTCCTCTTGTCACGAAGCAAAGCTGGAGGTCAGTAGAGAAATGCTGCTTGGCAACATAATAAATGGTTGAGAAGACAGACTGTGAAAGTAGAGCGGTTTCTGGCTGACGCCATGGACCACAAGACTCTAACAAGACAATGTATCATTCCTAACGCTCGATCTTCTTGACTGCATCAAATAACTCTTGGAAAGTTATTTACTAAAAAGTTCAGAGGGTCTAAACCAGCTGTAGTTCAATCAGTATGGGGTTATATGTGATGGTTATAACTAATACTAGTAAATAAAATTGCCTCAGGACACGGAGCTTCATGGATACTCCCTCCACCAGGTGGTGATGTTGTTCTTGAAGTATTAGGCAAAGTTGCATTACAATACACTTTCCAGATGGCTCAGGAAAGAATCAGTTACCCTCAAATGTTGTTCACTCACTCGACCCTGTTCACTGAAAGGTATCAGGGTAAAGGGGTAAATCCCTGTGATGATGAATAGTGATTTTACATGAGAGCATAGCACCCTCCTGTGTTATGGCTCTGCTTGCTGTTATGGCTACATTAATGAAATCCAGCACCAAGTCTGTGCACTGTTGATGTCACTGATGTCAAATGTCACAAAAATAGATGAATCATTGGCCACAGAGCTCATCTGATACAGATACAAACAGGAAAATGATGCGCTAATTCATTTAAAGGTGCTTAAATAAAGCAATGGGCTCTTACATCTTCTCCAGGTACATGATGCTAGTAAGTGATGATACAGCAACCATCCTGACATGCTCTGGTCCTTTTCACATTTCATCTGATGTTTTTGAGGTGCACATCAAAGCGTATTCTACTGCCTGTATACTGCCAGAGACGGGCGCTTTTTAAAAAATATTTTCTAGAGTTTGGGAATAACCCTAACCCAAAATGTAACTGCAATATGAATAATAATTTTATTAAAGTAAACATGACTGTTACTGTTAGTTACCAGAAACTATACAATACAACATTGCAAGATAAGGATACTAATTTGTGGGATATGTTATTGAAGACAGTGATGTCATGCATAACAATATACAGTATATATATATATAAATTTTTGCTTTTATATTTCTGTTTATTCTCTATTAGCGGGACACTTGATCTTTTAGATATAGTTAATCAGGTATACACTCTGGCCACCCCGGCCAGAGTCAGAATGTTTCCCTGCCCCTGCCTTGGAGGAAATAAGGGCGCAGCCAAATTTAACCAAACCGTGTATCTCATTTTTACACAGAATAAACAATTTGATTCCTAATAATTTATTACATCACAAAACTATGGATTTCATTTTCTTTTTTCAAATGTGCCACCCCTCTGTGAGTCTGTTCCCCAGCCTGGCCACGCCATACAAAATTTTCTAGATCAGATCCCATAACTTCATTTGAGCCTTCAGGTGCTTCGTTTGCCTACTTAACAAAGAAACCTGTGGTTAAGGGTCAAATCTCAGGGCACACACGCTCAGTGCTCTGTCGTGCATCTTTTTGTTGGTGTGTGTTTTTACCTGCTGAGTTCTCACCTTGTTTTGTTTACCTCCCAACACGTGGGAAGGGGAGGGGGGCTGGGAGAGGAGGGGAGGGGGTGGACTGGGAGGAGGGGAGGCGGATTATCGCTGCGTCGGTGCCCGGTGTCCTCTTGGGACCGCAACGAACACAAGAGTGATTGAGAGAATAGTGCACAGGACAGAAGCTCATTCGCATCTGCTCGTCCTCCTCCGTCAGTGTCAGCATCTTTCCAGGCTCTTCCTCCAACCAGAACCCAGCAGTCAGACATGTCTCTGTCCGACTCGCAGACACCAGAGGACGGACTCCACGGTGAGTGATGGTGGAGCATGGACCAGGCCGTTGTTTTGCTGTTATAGCGTGACATTTATTTATTTTTAAAGCCATAACGTAAACGATCCTTGCTATTGTAGCTATTAAACAACTGAGAGAAATCATCATTAAATCTGTTTTTGTGTGCACAGATTGATTTACAGTCTAATTTCACAATGCAACAATCTGGGTAAAACAACCTAAGCAATGACCCCATTCATTCACACAGTGTGTTTCCAGGTCTGATGTGCATTCAGTCACAGATGCGCACCAGTGGAAACATGACACTAACAGCATGTCAGGTGGTGAGCAGGTGTGAGAGGATGCCACAGAGAGAAGAAGGCAGTTTTTAGCTGTAACTGTGTAAATGGATTCCCTGACTCACCTGTTTGCTTGTTTGCCTGTTTTCTCGTAAGCCAATTAAGTTGTGGAGATTTCCAGACGCTTATACCTCCACTGTACCGTGCGCACTTTGCGTGGCACAGAGTTTGCTGGGTGAAACGTGCAATAATGTTACTGGGAGCAGGACACGGCGGGAGTGCATGAAAATGATCGGGGCGGAGAGGAGGACTCCCCAGGGTTAACACTCCCCGCCTTTCTGTCTAAAAACTCGGCCCTGAATTCAAGGTTGGTTTGACTTAAACTTTTTATAAGTTAGCCCGTGTTGCATATTGGTGACATAACATTTGTAGGAAACATAATAAACAGTACCCTGTTTGAGAGCATTCCAAGTTTCTCTCTGTTTTTGAACTAATTGCTACAAAATGAACTGTTAGCCTACTACCACTAGTCAGGTTTCCAGTAAAATCTGCAAAAGAAAAGGAAAATTAAATGTTCACCCACTTCTGTTATGTGATTATTGGGAGTAGTGGTGCTTATCCTTCAGTTAAGTACTATAAATTCACTGAAGAGGAAGTGGGCAGAATGTGACAAACACTGGAGAACCAAGGATGAAATGTAATGGAAATAAGGCACATGTAAACATTTCTGTTACACACATAATCTGATGTGTTCTAAATATTCATTATTTTTTCAATAAGTTTAGCAAGAAAATGGCAGAACATATAAATATGGAGAAAGCTAAAAAAATTTGGATTCTCCAGGGGTCTCACAGAAATAATAATAAAAAAAAAACACCCTGATCAAAAGACAAATACTGTACAAAACCCCTCATTCTAATAATTTGTGTGTGGTCCCTAAACTCGAAGCAGGCATTCATAACAAAAATTAATCTGTTGTGGTGTCTTTTAACATCCACATTACATAAAGCTGATTTGGCACCGGGACAGGTGAATGTGTACAGGACCATAGAAACTGATTTAATGCTGCAGAATGGCAAGAGATAAATCATGCAGCAAGGCAGTTGTTATGTCATAATTCCCCTCTGTAGAAAAATAACTAGGGCAATGGCACAGTCTCCCCTCTCTGTTCTCCCTCCCTCACACCCACCCTCCCTCCAGTTCCGTGCACACCCATGTCTCTACCCCCTCTGCTGCTGTTTGTATGATTACACAGTGGCATTAAACACTGGCAAAGTAAAAATCAGAGAGATCAGATGAAAGGGAAAGACACTTACTGTAGGAAGTCAGATGAGGTGTTGATAGAGAGAGATGCTGTGAGAATGGCAAGGGGAGGAAGGGAGAGGGTGAGTGGCTAATCTCTAATAGAAATAAGATCTTACATAAGCAAGTGTGTTGTCAGCCTGAGTTAGCCCTGCTCTACTGCTCAGCTGTGTGCACGCCACACACACCAGCGTGCATGTGCATACACGTGTACATCTCTTCCTGCTCATGTACCCAATGTGTGTCCATTCATTCATAAGCTGTGTGTGATGTCACACTCTCTGGCTCCCATTCTTTGAATGTGTATGTTTTTGTACCTGTCCAGCCAGATCTCCACCCTGAAGTCGTCATCTCTCAGGTCATCTGGTGTCGTTGCAGGACATCAACGGTGCTGCTTATAACTCACCATCTGTCAGGGCACAACAACACACATCTGTCCACTCCACATCAAAAAGAAAACAAATGTAACCCACATCTCTGTAGGGCTCTGTGAGATGGCTGGGATCAGTAAAACTGATCTGAAAAAACAAACAAACATATGAGCTAGATGCATCATTTTAGGTCACATAACAGGATTTAGGTGAGTTATATGAGGACAACCAAAGCTGGAGTGATCAGAAAAACCCCTCAATGTAATTTTAAAGTTTTTGTTCTCTTTCCTCTTTGGCTCATTACAGGTTGATATAGCTTACTGTACATCTACGAAGCTCTGCGGTTTGCTGTCTGAGCATCTTTGCGAACTATTCTACTCATTTTGTTTCCTCATCAGGCTCCTGGGTTGAGCTGGAGGAGCTGATTGCAGCCGTTAGCCGCAGGGAGAGTCTGACAAGGCCGCAGGACAGCATCTGCTCTGCCCTGCAGGGGGGGCTGGAGAGGATCCTTTTGGAGGCACAGCTTGAGTGTGAGAGGAGTAGAGACAGGTGATGGTGCAGATTGTTTGTGTTAATCTTTTTGTTTTGTTTTGTTTGGGGGTTCGGGGAGTTGAATGGCACAGCAAGGTGTAAAAATCAATTGCACACTAACGAGTTTCATTCTGTGCTCAGTGGAACTTTGCTTGTTTTTCACAGTATGTGTTACTTTTCTCCATCCTTCTTTGTTTTACAAACCCAAATCAGAAAAAGCTGGGACAGTATGTAAAATCAAAACTGAGACTAGTGATGTGTAAATCATCTGTGTCCTGTATTACACTGAAAACAATACAGCAGCACATTATTTGATGTGATGCCTCATCAATCTTATTTGTAAATAATTTGTGTCCTGAAACTATTTTCAGTTTTAATTTTGATTTTACATACTGTCCCAACTTTTCCTGATTTGTAACAGAGATGTAAATTTTTTTCAACTGTAGTCTGTGTCTTCATACAATGTGCACGTCTGTTTGTTGTCCATAGTCCTCCACAGGTGGTAACCCCACAGTCCACTGGTTCCCCAAGACCTTTGAGTGAGCAGGACAGCGACTGTGTCACCATTCAGGTATTTGCTGACCTACTGTACAGTATGTTGAATACGTCCATTCTTCTTTTTGTTACCTGCTGTGCAAACAGATGTGAGTGAAAAATACGCAGACATTTACTTTGGTTGTAGAAGGACCACACTGGCCACACTGAATGACATTTCTACATTTCATCATCATCATACATTTTTGCTGACTGTTTAGGAAAGCATAGACTAAGTGTTTATACTGATTCACAGCCAGCCACTCAAATTTCAGTTTAATTCAGTACATTCAGTACAAAAACAACTTGCAGATATGTGATACTTGCTTGAGAGAAATTCTCAATAGCAAGGACAAGTTTGCATTCATGTACTGTGGTTATTTTTTTTTTTTGCCAGAGTTATGTTTGTATTATATGGTACAACAAGTTAACAGGGACCATTTGAAGATACACATTGCTGGTGGGGTTGAAGATGCCCCGGCGTCTGAGTGTGCAGAGGTTGCTCACATCATAGTCTCTGTCCTGATGTTCTCGTTTTTTTTATACTATTTGCACATCATCTGATAATTTATGCATGTTGCAGGAGGAAGGTGAGCGGCGTGTGGACACCGATTGGGTCTGGGATTGGTCCAGTAGACCTGAAAATATGCCACCAAAGTAAAAGCAGTTACATTTTCATTTTAGTTATTTATGTTTGCTATAATATTTTACTGCATCCCTACATTACTAAAACCCTTTAAAATAAAATCAGTCAATCAATCAATAATTTATTATCCCTGAGGGGGAATTTGTTGTACAGCCAGTAGTAATCACATCCAACACAGATAACACAATGAAATAACACACACACACAAAAAATGAAATATGAATAGTACTAGCTTTGGACAACCTCACTAATGATTTTTTAAGGCTACAACCATTGCTTGGACAAAGGAACTTTTAAATCTTTTTGTTCAACATGTTGGGACTCTGTATGACCTGAGAGCACCATCTGAAACTCATTAAACAAAGAGTGACTCAGGTCTGCAAGAAATAATTTCACTTTCTTCAGGGTTCTGATCCTATAGAATTCACAGATATCAGTCAGGCCTGTTCCCACTAGCATTTTGCAGGCTTTTGTGATACTTCCAAAGATTTATTAGTGTTTTAAGGTTTAAAGAAATATTTAGTAATTTTAGACATCAGTTTTCTCTTAGCTTTATTGCCAAAAATTAGACAAGAAGATTGACACCACTGTCATGTTTGAGCTGAAAGCAGGAGGCGATTAGCTTAGCTTAGCATGAAGATGGAAAGCAGGGGAAAACAGCTAGCCTGCCTCTCTCTGACAACTTTGCCTACCAGCATGTTCAAGGCTCACTTATAACATGTTATATCTAGTTTTTCTTTTCAATTTATAGACAAACACACAGTTTTAAAAAAGTGGTTTTATGTATTTATTTTTAACAATAGCTGGATGCAGTGAGTGTTGTCATCATGGTGAAGTTGCCTGACAACCAGCAGAGACACTGGACTTGTTTGTGAAGACATAGTTACACTAAGTAACTCCTTTCAAATAAATATGTTTATGCAGTTTTTAATTTAAAAATATTCATCATTTTTGTTCCCGGTATTAGTTGGAAAACTAGATTTGTTTTACTTGCAAAACCCCACAAAACATTCAACATTAGTTGTAGTTTTTCTCTTCAGTTTGACTTTTGACAGCATGCTCCAACATCATGTTATAAATTTTGACAGATTTGAGCATTGAGAAACACATGAATCACCTCCATTTTTATTTCCACTGCAACACCTGACATTTGATCTTCTCCAGTACAGTAAGTCTGTTTGACAGGTAGTAATTCTTAATGGTCTCAGATTCTCAGGACTCTATTCTCTTGTGTTCTTATTACCCATTCATTTTCCCCCTTTCTGTTTTCCTTCACTTGCATCTCTGATCTCCTCGTCCTCCCCTCATTCTTTTCTCTCTGCAGAGAGTTTGTGTTTCAGCACCCAAAGCAGCAGGGTTCCCTCAGCATCAGGAAGACAGAGGTGATGAAGAAAAGAATCTTCTCCTCTGATGTTCTCCTTATTCTTGTTCCTTCACTTCTGGCTTCACACCTGCTCACACTTGGAGTTGGGTGAGACATGCACACACATGCATAGACTCACTTTTTTGCCATATTATATTTATATCTGTAGCAAATGCATTATAGTGCTGCAAGTGCTCGTTAAGTCCTGCCCCTGTTGCTTGCCAGGCTTTCTGCTCTTGCATGTCACATAAGCAGTTTAAATTTAATAATAGTGGGAGATTTACCCCTCAGAGTTCTTAATAATGTTGGAAACAATGGGTCCTTTATTTCAGACAGATATAGACAAGAGAAGCATTCACATTTCAAGCTGGCAGCCACTGATGCTGAAATGACAACTGACAACACCAGATTTTATCAGTTGTAGCTAAGCAGCTACAGTAATTAACATTAGCTCCATGAACTGGTTGAAAAAACATCTCTCATTGACTTTCATTATTTCCAGCTGTTCGGTTATGAAATGGGGATCTTGAAAAAGGGGTCTTAGATGTGTATCTGATGGCTACATACTGTACATACAGTAATATCACGTTACAAAACTGAGGTTAATGTTAACGTTACAATAAAAAAAGCTTTGAGGACTTAGATGTGTTTCACAAATGTAATGATATCTTGGGTAATGCAACATGTAAACTTTGACCAATTCAAATGAGAAGCAGGACTGCGATGCAAACATTTGCCTCATTTTTAACAGCATCCTGGACTTGCTTCCACATAGTGAGAAAATAATAAACTACTGGATTTGTAAATCTGTAACTCCTCAAACTTATCTACTTAGTAAGTGATTAATGATGTGATCATTAGCCTTCAAAAACTTGACCGTCCTCCTATGCCCAGTAATGATCGGTCACTGTTTGAGGGAGAGGTCTCTTGAAGGCTCAGTTATTAATTACTTCTCTCTCTTTTCTCATTTGAGGATCTACATAGGAAAGCACTTAGCTGCTTCCACAACTAGCACACTGTGACTTCGGCTGTTGGCCAGTTACCCCATTCACTATGAGTCTGGCCAGGAAGGTCACAGTCCGCCCTCTCTACAGCTCTAATTTGCCTCCTTCCTTTTTCGTCATGGGGCAGCCATCTGTACCTCTGTCTCTGTTCATCTGTATGTCTGTCTACCCAGCAACATTCTACAGTCTGTGCATGACATAGCGCCCGGGGAGTGGATGAATGCCAACCAATGAGTCAGACTGAGGTCACTTTTATTGTCCGGGAGAGTAACACTGATCTCAACCAGCTAAAGCATAATCAGAAAGGAGAGATTGCCCAGATACGAGAGAAAGAAAGGAAAGGAAGAGTTTTACCTAGCTAGAACAATAAATCCATTTGATAAGAGGAGATGAAAATGGTTAGTTGGGAAAAGTGTGTGCAGACAAAATGAGAAAGGTAGCATGTGGTAGACCTTTTGCCCAACCCTTGATAAATGTCTGTCATTTGTCAAAAGTAATGACTCTTTGTAAGACTGAGCTGCTAAATGTGGCTCTTGGGGGGTTTCTGCCCTCAAAATCTATCTAATCTAAAGAGCTATAGTTGGCTGAGTGAATGTAGGAGTGACTGGTTGTGATTTTTGTCCCAATTAAATATTTGACCTCCAACAAAGACAATCATGATCCCATTAAACTTACTCTACAAAACATCAATGTGCCTCCTGGGTCTTTTGTTCTTCTCTTCCATGCTCATCCTGGCAGTATTCAGTGGAAGCATGTGTGTTTTTGGAATAAATGCATTGAAAGTGGAGCAATTTCAGCTAGAAAAGCATAAAGATTTGCTGAAATAAGCTTAAGCCAGTAATTTATATTGTATGTGTACAACATGTTTTCAGTTTTGGGCTGTTGCTGTCTGGAGATTATTTGTAGGTAATTACACAAAACAAAAAGGAAACACTTCTACAGCCTACTGTGCTGTTAATAGTCTGAAAATTAACCACAACATCTGTTTAAAATGTTTCCCCTTTTCCATATGAGGAAAAGCACTGCAAATCACTCTGCTGATTTGTCCCTGTCCCGATAAGGTCTTTGGTGAGCACTTTACTCACATATTTTATACACATTCTCCACCAGTGACGATGACTCTTCCTCATCTTACTCAGAGCTCTTGCAAAAATTTTATGATGTCACACTAGCCTGTTTCTTTCCATCTGCCTTTGTCATTGCTTACCTCACAAACATCTTTCCTTTCTCTGGATTTTTAACAAGCTGCTTCTTTGACCAATCGAGAATTTGACAATTTATTGCTTTCTCATAAACCAGAAATGTGTTTCCTCTTTGCATCTTGGGAAAATAGTTAGCTAAGATCTTGAATGGAGAGCCTGCAAAGCACATTGAGTTATTCCAGCACTGCCTTGGACATAAACATGCCCATTTGTTGTCCGGCCTGACCAAGCTCAGTAGGTTTATGAGCCATTAGCAGAGTGTTTGATGTGTGAGGCCCTGCTGAGCTCATTAAGCTACCTCTAGAAACAATATGCTGACAGTGCAAGAACAAGCCGACCCTGGCAGAACACAACACCTGGTTTCCATTTGAGAGGGGTTCCTAATATTCTGACCCTCTCATATATGTAGCTGGGGAGGACAAAAACATAGAGACAACTCTGAACATGATGTAGGTCAGTACAACACCACCTTAAACCTCATATAATAATCATATATACCTGTATATACAAAATCACAACCTCAATAATAAACATATAATTTATACATTTATGGCAATTTCACCAAAAACTGAAACATTTTGAGTTTCACAAACTCAGATGTTATGGCAGACGTGTTGCACTGAAGTGCATGCAATTGTACAGGTGTACCTAATAAAGTGGCTGGTGAGTGTATAAAAGAGAAAACACAGACAAACAATGAAACATCCACAACAACCACCCAACTGTCATCTTCCTGGTTCAGTTTTGAACCATATACTGCTGACTGCACCCCACCTATGAAAATGTCTCTTCTCCAAGTAGATTTAGCTGCTTGACATGTTCACTATCAAGCATTTAAGTAATTATGTTTCTACCAGTAATACTAGCTAATGCTAGTGGTTCTCAGAAGAAAAATAGTGCCAGATTTATTGACTAAATGCATCCACAGTCGCATTTAAAATTAGACAATAAGTGGCAGACATCCAGGCCAGAACACAGATACTACTGTACAGTATCTTTATCAAGCCACCTCAGAATGCTTAGAAGACTACTTTAGCTGATAAGACTGGTCTAAAATATCTTTAGCTTTTGTTGACTAAAACAAACAATTATCAAATTACTAACATATTACCAACCCTAACCTACCGTTTATCTAAAGAATAAGTAAATTGAATTACATAACTATTGGCTTGTTTACAACCTGTCCAATTATTTCTGCCCCATCACATGGCAATCTTGCATTGTTACTGATTACAGTGTTAGTATAACAAGATAAATGACAACAAAACAGGAGCTGAGTTGCAATAGACTAGAATTATTCTGGCCTGTGGAATGTCCCTGATTCAACACCACCTCTTGTCTACCATTTATCCCCAGCTTGGGGCAAACAGGCAGCCACAGGTGGGGCGGGCTGTTGTAAATCATGTTCTCAGACGGTTATATGCCTGATTGTTGTGAACCTTAGTAGGGGACTGTGCTAAGATCTGTCGACCCTGTAATATCCTCCCAGAACAGGCTACAATTTCCTAAATGCCATATGTGGTTTTCCACAGACCTTTCAGATGCATACATGCAGAATAGGATAAGCCTGAGCATTTGGCGTTATAAAAGAAAGTATAAATCCTATCCTTCTGTTTTGTCTTTTCTAACTGTTGGAGGTAGAGAAGACTGAGGCTGAGACAGAATGTGGAAGAAACCTGATCATTTCCTGGGCTGAACTTTAGAAATCAGACATCTGTCTCTCTGGGAAATGCATTATCTTCCTGCTCCTATAGTGCTAGACAGGAAATAGTTCAGCCTCAAAGAATCTGGATGTAACAAAGGAACATAGTTAAACTGGCACAACATCTGCGTCTTAACATTCAAACAAGGTCACCTCCATCTCAAGTAACTTCACTTTACCACATGAGGCCCACTCCCCCCTCTTGAACCATTTATTATGAGAAATAGTAGGTAATGATTCCACATGATTGACATACCCTCACTTAAAAATCAGACACACAACAGCGTACAGCTTACCAGAGCAGCACACTAAAACCTTTTTGTTCACATTCTGTGAACTCAAATATGCTCATGCAGAATAAATATGTTTATCTCCGATATTTAATATTTGCTTCAGTAAATACAGAATTAAAGTTTGGAGGGGAAATCAGTGTCTCCTCAGATCTGACAATGAATACCCTGCTGGAAACATTTTCTCACGGAGATTCTTGCATTTTTTACACCCTCTGTCACTTTTGACAGCACAGCAGTGATTTGACTAATCAGCCTAATATCTGACAAAGCATGGAAGTGAAACCGGGAGAGTGAAAGAAGTTCCTACAAGAATGATTTGTTGAGATGGGTTTTTTTCCTGTCATATGCCCGAACATGTGCACATCATCTTGTATCTGCTGTGCCAGATTACACACCAAGAAGGGGCAATAATTGCTTCCATGTGCTGTCCTCACTCTCCTCGGCTTGTGTACACTCCGTTGTTGTTTTCATACCAGTCAATCATTGCTGGGTGAGCATGGCACAGACATGGATGTGAACTGTGTTGTGTCTGAACAAACGAACCAGTGTGCTCTCCCACCTTGTGAGCTTTTTCCCACCACAGAGCAGGCCTTTCTAGCATAAACATGTTCAGTTTCAATGTGCCATAAGTATGATGGATTAATGAGAGCCCCTGGAATAAGTCATAACGGAGCACAATGCAGCGCTGTCTGCTGTGTAAACAAGCTGCTCACCAAACTGTAGGTGTGTTTTGTCCTCACATCCTGAAGCATTTGTTTGATATATGTTTTGCTATGCTACAACAAAGGAACATGTTGAGCTGTGTGAAACGGGACATGCATTTTTCATATTTTAAAAGCGTTTGTAGGTTTATAATAGAAGCTGAAGACAGGAAACAAAGCTAAAGCTGCCAGTGATCAGCTTCCAAAATGTGCATCATTATCCACATATATAACAATTATCATCCACCTTAGTTTATTCAAGGAGCTGTTTGAACTAGTTATTTTCTAGCATTACTTGTCCTGAAGCGTTTTCACAGGATGTAAGGCTGTACTTAAAAACACTGGTGCTCAAATGCTAAGATGAATATTTGTATTCATAGTCTTGTTTATTCCAATATAAAACGTGCTGTTGTTCTACTTTCCAGACACAACTCATGGAAGTTATTAAGAACATGATATTACTGTATATGTTGAAAAAACACATTTGGTCCACAGCCATGCTAGCAGCTCTGTAATGTTGTCCTTTGATGGTACCTTGAGCTAAATCTTTTTCAGTATGTTTAGCTTAGTATTTTAACAGACTAACATTTACTTCTTAACCCTAAACACAAAGCACAGCTGCAGCTGATGGGAATGTCATTAATTTTGCCATTATTCATTATTGGAAGAGTTGAAATTTAGACCTGATGAAAGCAGTAGATAAAAAGTTAAGGGATCACCAAAGTTATTAATTCATCCTGAGAAGAACATCTGAAACAAATTTAGTGGCAATCCAACAGTTGTCAAGAACTTCCACACAAGCCAGAAAAATGAGACAAGGATGCACTGGATGTGTTTCTATGAAAAAACAGACAGAGCTGGGGAGCTGGGTGTTGCGCATTGTGATCCACAGCAGTCTCCATCTACAGTATGAGGGGCGTAGGTAGGTGTAGGTGAGACACGCACTGAGATGGAGTGAGTGAGTGTGAACACATCCAGCTGGTCTAAGTGACTGAAGAAGCAGCTGGATAGTCGTGAGATGGTTTGAGGATGAACTCAGCTTCCACATGGCAAAACGATCACCCACAGTGTCTACTGGCGGCTTCATGAAGACCTTCATTACGTACCCTTGCATAATATTGAGAAATTTAGTGAGACACTGAAACCGCATTGTTGTTTTAGAAACGGTATGTTCCCCCGTCACAGTGAGGCTATTCTGAGAATACCTCTACGCACCTATCATCAGTCTTCTAATGTTACAGCCATGTTTTTCCAGAAGAGCTGTTCAGGTTTATGTTACAGTGTCGACAACTGAGACCATTTTGAGTGATTTTACAGATATGAAGGCGGGAATTTGGTCACTTAGATGTACTTGAAAAAAAAAAATATAGTAATGGTTTTATCCGTTTCCTGTTATTTCCCAAATTTGGTTCTAATTTGGTCTTTTTATTTTACACAACCCAGACTAGTAGTTAAACAAATATGTTTGCATCAGCTTTGGTTTGATAACTCAAGATCAAGGACTAAATAAATCTACATTTGTATTCGCAGTGCTTCATTATAAAAACCTTCTGTTCCCTTTTAGCTGAGAGTAAATGTTCTGATTAATGTTGAATCTGTAACATTTGATGTATAATTTGTCTTCATGCCATCAGCGCCGTGTTAGACGATTCCAGGAAACTCAGCCACTTTATCCACCGTGGCGTACCGATTTGGCTCAAGAGTCTGCACTTTAAAGTGCTGCAGGATGTGGGTACGTTTCTAAAGGCTCTGCCTTGAATTCAGAGTTACAGTCTGTCTAATATCAGAAATTCTGCCAGTTTATGCTGTAATTTTGGGTTTGGAGTGAGTCTCCCCTACCAGACTGAGGTGAGGTTTTGATAGATGCAGCACATTTACTGAGGTGTTGGGTCAGACCCCTTGGACTTGCTGACTAGCTAGTGTTATGTAAGTTCATCAGGTAAGAGTGCAGAGCTTATAAGATTTAGCATCCCACAGTGTAATGAGTACCTAAACACTCAGAGCAGGACCAAAGAGACTTGTGGTCACCTCTTGCTGTGGTTTGCTTTGTTGTAAAAGTCTGTGTCCATTCCTGAAACACACAAGTACTGATGTAAGTCATTTTATGAAGGGACATCTTGTGAAGAGGAACCTTTACTTGGTTGATTTAATTATCATTTTTGTTAATATTCACTGGCATAAATATTTGTCTCACTCAGTCATCATCGTTAAGTCTTTTTAATTTTGCCAGAAAATGTTGCTTTGATGACAAAAATGATAGATTAATATCTACCAATAGAACAAAACCATAGAATATGTAAGTACAGAAAGGCTCAATACATTAACAATAGTAACAATGAGTGTAGTTCATAAGTAAATCATATACATGGACAAATGGATCTAATTAGTTTGATAAATGATCTTAAGATTATCAACTGGAAGAAGAAGAAGAGCACAAATTTGATGATTGATGAGAATGAATACTATTAATAGAATAGATGCAAGTCATGTATGTTATTTCAATGCATGTCTTGTTTTCCTTTCTGGCACAAATGCTAATTGTCAGACCTCCTCAGAGAACACAAACATCCCTTAAACTGTACACGGCATAAAACCACTATTTCAGGTCAGCCGCCTATTACTCATTGCTAACAGTATATTTTGTTGTCACTGTGGTAACAGCAATGTCGTCATTTTTGGTGTCTGTTACAAACTACCCATACGAGGAGCCATGAGTGTGAATAGCAGTGTCTCAGGATTTGATCAAATCCATAGCACAAATAGTCAGGAGATGATGTCAGACACATTTGGGGTTTGGTTTTATCTTTGGTTTTATCACTGTCTGACCTCATCTACCACACCATGACGTGACTCAGCCTGGGTCCTCCAGCAGGCTATGTGGTCTAGCGGGCTCCTGGCCGCAGCTACCAACCATTGCATAGTGGTCTGTGGGGATTTCTGTGATCCAGAACCCAAAATGTTTGCAATGGATTATTCTGGAAACCCATTAAGGGACTGATAAATTCTGGGTGTCCTGTTGCTGAGTCTATATCAGTACAGAACAGATGACCAGAGCAGCTGTAAACAAACTAACCACAGGGAATACCTGTGGTAGACATACGGAAACCGTGACTCATTTGCTGCTGCTTGTTGCTATAGATACTTGCGTTTATCCTTGTAAGTGGGACCATCATCTTGTAGCCACTGAGACTTGGCTTTTACTGTATTAGTGCAGGATTCAAACATCATTAATGGGCATTTTATTTTGTTTGTTTTTTTAATTTTTTTGCCTTAGTAGTAGTTACTTGTCTGTGGAATAAGGCTTGAGGATTTTAAATATGAGATGCAACAAGCAAAGAGAGGGGGAAAAACAAGCATCATTTAGACCTTAATCTCAAGAGACTCATGGTGCCAGACATGCTGACGACCTGGAGGCTGAGTGAGCCAGCAGCTTGTCTCAAGCTCTGTTGGCCGGTTAACATGGCTTGTTAAGACATGGGCTCATTTCCTCACTTTTCCTTGGAGATGGAGGGGGAAGCAAGGGTACATGTGAAAAGTGTCACATCTGATCCCTGGAAGGAAAGCATAAGAATCTACCTATGTTCCAGACAGAGTCTGAAACAAGTGCTAAAAATCAAGTTGCACGAGATAGGAAAGACATTTTTATAAATTCACAGCATGAACTCATGAATTTAAAAATATTCCAGTTTGGGAAAAAACATGACTTCTGTCACCAAACATGGGTTCCTGGACTGGGCTAGAAGCTGCTCATATACTGCACACTGGTGCAAGGGCCTTTGAAGCAGCAGTGCAATAGTTTCCCCAGGTCACTCCTTCTGAGGAAGGTCTTAAAAAGCAGGTTCTGGCCCTCACGCTCCTCCCTTACAAAGACTCCTGCAACCCTGCCTTCACTTTCACACACCAGTTCAGACCCACACACATACACAAACTGTGAGCAGCTACTATTAGGCTAAACAGAACAGTCTTGTGTCAGCTCGGATTCAAAAAGGAAGCAAGGACACAAATGCACCACTCACAGCAGGCGCAGACATACGGGGAATTTGCCACAGTATCACATACTGATAAGTCAATCCAGAGAAATTGCTGATCTGCGACCAGTTGGAAGGAAAACATGAGTGTGTGGACAGCCCTGATTCTGGTCTCGCAGCTGCTGTTAAACCTGTGCTTACATGTGGAAGCTGAGAATTTGGGTAAGTGTTCTTTAAAGTGTTTTAGCTTGTTTTTCATTGCAGTTATTCAAATGTCATGACAGTTTTTAATAAAGCCAAGTATTTGACCAAGTGGGATTTGTTGGGTTTTTCTCTATAATATTGTAATAAGGTCTAGACCTTACTACAGTATGTAAAGTGTCCTAAGATGTTGGGACTTGGAGCTATACAAATAAAACTCTATTGAATTTAATTGAACTGAATTAAATGCATCCTATTGATTGATGACTGCAGCAGCTCTGGTTGCTCTTGCAGTTGGCAAAAGAAACTGAAAATAATTGTTTTAGGTTTTCTGTTTAAATTTTAGCACACACACAAAGAAAGATGTCTTTGATTTTATTTGAATACTTCATTTTTATGACATCCTGCCTGTGATGCAATCCTCAGTTTTCATTATCTGTCAAAAAAGATTTAATGGCCTCACCGCTGGGTGTTTTAAAGCACTGTGTAGTTCAGTGGGTAATGGATAAAGCAGACACTGTGAAAGAGAATATCCTATGCAGACCCGACAAACACAAAGGATTAGACATGGTCTGTGTTTCTCACTGAGGTACGAATAAAGTAAGAAATATCCCCATCATTTGTAAAACACGTGTTTATGGCAGGAGGAAGACTAAGATAAAGCATAGAAGTAGATGGATTTTAAATCCACCATCATCACTTTCTGCTGAAGCAATGTCACCCTGTGTTTTTATATCTGCCTGGACAGATCTGCTTGTTTACAGGAGGTCCAGCTTTCTGGCTCGTATTAATTCACACACTGTCCAAGCTAGGTCATACACATGGGAATAATCAGAGATGATCTGTGCATAGTATCAAACTTCGAGTCACACATACACACAGACTGTTTCTCACTGACACATACTTTGTTCAAGGTCACACACAACCCTGAGCTGCAGACGACTTGTGGAAATATTGATGTTTATAGTTTATCAGCTTCTTTCAAATAACCCCAGTTGATTAATGGCGTACCTTTATAACACCCATTAATCCCTACAATCTTTTGGCAATAGCTGCCTGATGCTGTGCATTAAACAAGCTCAGATTAATGGAGTTCATCATCTATCATTTCCCTTGCAAATGGCTCATTGTCTGCATGACTGGAATCCACCATGTTCAAAAGGAGGGAGACCAATTTAAAGCTGTGATAAATAAGATTTTAGCAGCAAAAACAGTCTTCTATCTCAGTAAAGGTTATGGCAGTTATTGATCACTGATTAATGATCAGTATTAATGTCTGGGGGATGACTTCACTGGGGGAAAACTCACATTCTACTCTGGGCACCAAAACTCCCTGCTCAGGGGCAACATGTATCTTTAAAGATTTAACTGACTTTTTTTATAAAATGTATCAGATGACAATGAAAACAATGTGCCAGTACGAAAAGGGTCGCTTGAAGTATAAACCAACAGGGAATTATGACTTGAATCTTCAGCTGCCCTTGGTTTCACTGAGCTTTATACAGTAGTGACTTTCAGCTAATTTGTTTGCTGTCCACCCACAACTTTACTGTTTTGCTTCACTCTCGCTGGTCACAGAGTTTTCTCCTGTAGCAGGCAGCAAAAAACCTCACTGTGCACTACCTACTCAGCACCGAATGGCAGACAGACACCAGTAAAGACTGGCTGGTGAATATATTGGAGCATTTAGTAGCTAAAGAGCCAGATATTTCCCTCAGACGTTGGTAGAACCCCAAACCAGAGCTATAGGATTATGAATATTGGCCTTCAACAGGTTGCTGGAAACACATGATGCTTTTACTCTTCAGCTGCTGTTATGTGCAAATAAGCAACTGTTTGCCAATAGATTTGCCACATCAACTCACAATATATTGGATCCATGCTCCTATTATTATAGGTCCTTCATCACATGTTGTGGTTTACCTCTAAACACAAAAAATAAATGACAGCTTTTTAAAATCAATCCCTCAAGTGTGAAGCATTTGTTAAGCACTAAAATGAAGAATGCCAACCGTTTGTAGATACTTTATCTATTCCCTGACAGATTTAAATGCTGGAGTTAAGAAGAGGACAAGGCACTTGATTACTTTATGGCTTTCAGCTGAGCTAGTTTTATGAAGCTTGAAATCGGAGGTTAATCAGAGGGTAAGATGAAACACTTTCTCAGGATCTCTGGTGTGCAACAACCCTGACCCCCACAAAGCCCTCTGTCCAGAACAGCCCAACTGTGTGTTTTATGAGCAAGCATGTGTCTTTGTGTTGTTACAGTCACTCTAGAAATGTGACACGTGTGCAATGAGGTTCATTGTTTGGATTTTTGTCAATTTAATGGACCAGTAACACTGAGTCACAAAGAGAATTATCAAGACTTATCAGGTGATGTTGGCAATCCTGAAGACAATAGAGTCATCTGATTTCTGGTGAAAACACCATGTATGCAGGCTTTTTCGGTACCTTAGTCACATTTAACTACACACATTTTTAAAATCCCTCCTGTTGTGCTGAAATACACTATTTGCCAGATGAAACTCAAGGGACCACGGGCAAAGGAGAGAGAGAGAGATAAAAGCAAGGAGCATTTTCATCTGGGGATCATGCTTTCTAATCTTGGCTTACCGTGGCAAGTCTCCAGGAGCATTTGGGAGCAATTTTGCTCCTTTACAATAAAGGATCTAACAGACTGCATCTAGGGTGCTTGTGTATTCATGATGTGTGCAGATGGTGGACTAGAAATTCACCACACATCTTCATGTGATCTGCCGAGCTCCCAAATCGCTTTATTAAAGGAAGACATGAGCCTAGGTGTAGCCAGCCTTGCTGGCATTTTACTCCCACTAAACAGTCCGTCAGTAAATATGTCTAAATTATGCTATTCCTCTGTCTGTGAGAACAACGAGCATTTTTAATACAGATCTAACAAATTCATTTTTTTAAAAGCGTCGGTTACATTACAGAGCTCTGAGTTACTTAGAAATCCACCTGCTTGTAATTTTTCTGAGCCAACTTTGCCTGCCAAGTTCGTTCTGACTGAATGACACAGCGTCTCACAAGAGCAACAAACACTGGGTCAACATCATCAGCATCTCCTTGTCAACTCAGGATGTGTTTACGATGAGACCATGAGTGCAGGTTGTAAATATTCATATCTCATCATCCATTACTCATGTGTTTTTCTGCGTCTCACTTTCCCATCCTTGTCAATAGTCTATGATCTGCTCACCTCGCCTGATTGCGTGCCAGACCTGCTGCAGGGGGGTCTGGCTGAGCAAAGGGTGAATGAGGCTTTCATCCTAACCTCCTTCAAGTTGCAACCCAAGACCGGAACCACATTGTTTGGCCTGTACAACCCGAGGGACAACAGCAAGCACTTTGAGTTTACTGTGATGGGGAAGCTCAACAAAGGTAGGAGAGTATGAAAGAGTCTCTGGTAGGTTAAAGCTGCCCAGATCAATATTTTATATTAAGAATGGGTTAAATGATTGTATGTAATGTGAACAGGATCATCATTTAATGATGCATCCGCAGAGAATTATTACATGATTCTACAATTCCCCACAGCTCAGAGCACTTTACCTTCTTTCAGCTTAGCACAATTTCACTGTTTTGGTTCACTCTCACTGCTTTCATCAACTTTGTTTCAGCCAAAGCAGATAGATATTTTAGCAAAAAGCTCTGATGCATCCTCAGAAAAAAACATTAAACAAAGTTAGCACTAGCTGGTGAGTGTAGTGAAGAATCTAGCAGCTGAAGAGCCCAGTATCTCCCTCAGGATTGAGAGGAGACATAAACAGAGCTAAAAGGAGAGAGGTCGCATAGCCACTAATATGTCTGTGCCATAGATCCTTAGTCTTGTAATTTGTATGAATAAATCCTTTCTCTTTGTTCCCTATTCTTTGTTAGCAATGCTTCCCTTTCTCTGGTCTGTCCTCTCATAGCTGTGCTACGCTACCTGCGGAATGACAATAGGCTGAGCTCAGTAACCTTCAACAACATGGTACTGGCAGACGGCCAACAACACCGACTATTGTTCCACCTGAAGGGGCTGCAGCAGCAGGGGCCAGGCGGGATCGACCTGCATCTGGACTGCAGGTTGGTGGAAACGGTCACAGATCTCCCTGCTGCCTTCCAGGGTTTGCCAGCAGGCTATGGTATGGTGGAGCTAAAGACCATGCAAGCCAGAGAGCAGGTGAACCATCACTTACAGTATTTCATACAATAATAAATATGCATCTGGCTCAGTAGTTTCCAACTGACTTAGTTGTCTGTTTTGATTTGTTGTATTCCAACAGGAGAGTTTAGATGAGCTAAAACTGGTGGTTGGAGACTCATTTGAGAATGTTGCTTCATTACAAAACTGCCATTTCCAACAGAGGGACTCTGTCCAAACTCTGGGTAAGATCCTTTCTGGGCAAGAAAATGTCCACAGAGACAGCCAAACAATCCCAGCGGTAGGAAAACAACATTCAGAGTCTGTCAGTGTCGGTGTCAGGCTCAGAGAATCCACCTCTGCTACACTCATACAAACTGCCTCCTTCTTCTAGGGGTCAACACAAAACAGCTGTCCAATCAAATGCTGGAGTTAACTAAGGTGATAAATGAGCTGAAAGATGTCCTCATTCAGCAGGTAAACACCTCTAACAGTTCCTCTGAGGCCACTTTATCTCTTCTTCCTCACTCCTGACCTCCTGTCTGCCTCTAAACCTGTTTATGCTCGACCCGTTTGTAGGTCAAAGAGACCTCATTTCTCAGAAATACCATCTCAGAGTGTCAGGCCTGTGGTAAGATCATTTCTAATTATAGTCACGACACACCTCTAAATACAGCACTTGACTATTTTTGGATGGTAATGAAACTGCAGAAGATAAAAATATGCTTTTCCTTTATTATTTTAAGATTTGGGTGGAAAAGAGATCGTAAAACCACGGTGTGCCCCAGGTGTCTGTTTCCGTGATCATATGTGTGTAGAGACAGTGGATGGTGTTGAGTGTGGACCCTGTCCTGATGGATACACAGGGGATGGCTTCAATTGTGATGATGTGGATGAGGTAAGACTCAATGTGTTTGTGAGAATCTGTAAGTGTTTAAGTCCTGGCTGCAGCGTGACCATGGCCCTGGTTCAGCCATCCTTAATCTCTTGTATTTTGGGGCTAGAACTTGGATTTTTATTATTATTTGAATCATTCAGAACTGGGAGTTTCAGGCCTCAAAGGTCTATGACAAATCTTATAAACTGGTTTCACCAAGTTTTTGGGAGTTAGACAAAGAATAGATAATGTAATTATGTCCTGGCACACAGGGGCTAAAGGCACCTCAGAAGTTAATATGGTTTAGCGACCAAAGCCACAGGTAAGGGTAAAGCTCTGGGAATTAAGGAAATATAAGGAATGACTGCTGCAAAGTGAGGTCTTTAAGGAATGGAGTTGTGTCTGTGTGTGTTTGCCTCTATGTCTTTTTGGGTTTGCTCTGACCGCTTTTCTAAGGACTGGCCCCTTCAGCATTCTCTTTTTTGCATGAGCAAAAGTGTCATGAAACCTAAAGGCTTCTGGAGAAGTCCAGTGAGAACCACATCTTCAACAGAGCTTATGTCCTCCTTTCTGCAGTGCCAGTTTAACCCCTGCTTCCCTGGAGTGAAGTGTGTGAACACTGCCCCGGGCTTTCGCTGTGATGCCTGTCCACTGGGCTACATTGGCTTGCCAGTGCAGGGTGTGGGTATTTTGTTTGCCCAGACCAACAAACAGGTAAGAGCAGACAAAATAATGAGGACACAAAACCAAAATGGGAATAGAATAAAAAAAGGCATGTGTGCAAATTATAGCATATATGAAATGAGACACACACCAAAACCTTTCCCAATAAGTTGTTTCTCCAAAACGATACAAAAATTTTTTTTACTGTAGATTATAACAACAACAAAATGTGGATGCAGAACATCCACAGAGATAAAATGTCTTTTTGATATGTGGGTCACGCTCATACAGTGGGTACGGAAAGTATTCAGACCCCCTTAAATTTCTCACTCTTTGTTATATTGCAGCCATATGCTAAAATCATTTAAGTTCATTTTTTTCCTCATTAATGTACACACAGCACCCCATATTGACAGAAAAACACAGAATTTGACATTTTTGCAGATTTATTAAAAAAGAAAAACTGAAATATCACATGGTCATAAGTATTCAGACCCTTTGCTCAGTATTTAGTAGAAGCACC